CCATTTTACATGACAAATGCGATTATATGGGTCAGGCAGCCTTTGGGGCCAGCTTAGATCACGTTTTGGTCAAGGTCAGGTCAAGGTCAGGTCAAGGTCAGGTCAAATTAGGTCAAATTTCAAAGTTAATATTTTTGCATAAAATGGGTATCGAATCGATGCAGCTCGTCACGGGGAGTTCAATGGTGGTCTTTGTTTTGCCGTACGAGGTCTAGAATTGCTAAAAATTGAGTTCAAAAATTTGACGTCATCATTTTTGAACAGTTTTTTCGCTATAACTTGGCCAAAAAACGAGATATCGATCTGAAATTTGGTATGTATATAGAAGAGCGCTGGGGCTATCACATATATTCCGGTTTTTTTCGAAATTCGGAAAAATTTGGGATTTTTTCAAAGTTTTTCTAAAAAAAACAATTTTTTGATTTTTTTTGGGTCAAAAACCAAAAATTTTGAAAATCCGAGATAGCAGTTTTGTAGCGCCGCCTTTTGTCTACTAGACCATATAAAGAACTTTGAAATTGCTTGATAACTGTAGATTTGGTGAGCGTTTCAAGATTGCATGTTTTTTGCTCATTTTTGCTCGAACATGACCTCAGTTTGACCTCAATAACTCCTGACCTAAGGTGACCTAAGACTTGAAATTTGGTGTGAAGGTGTCAAATTGATGCCCAGGAAGGTACTGAAAATTTGGCGGCGCTGCGCGCCGCCGTTTTCTTGCTATTCAGGAAAAACCACAGGGGGGGCCAAAATGGCCCCCCCCCCCAACGGGGCGAGGGTTAATATAACCTTTTCAAGGGATGCAAATGCCCTTGCAAGGGATGCCCTTGCAAATGCAAATGCAACAGGAATGCAACAGCAAGTGTCCCATGACATCTCAGTGCATCTCGTCCCAGCGTGCAAGAAAAGGGGTTCTCGCCAGACAGCCACTGGCATATCGCGACGACCGCAGTAGCCAGTACGCTGGCCGACAGTGGCATTACAGAACAAAAGCATCTACTTTTCCATCTCAGATGATACATTATGGACCGGACATGCACGCTGTCTATCTCCCCTAGATCCCGTATCGTCGGGCGATCCCACCCACTCGACATGTGTCACTAATGTGTCACTAATGTGTCACCAGTGTGTCACTGACAGCGGTATGTCTCAGAACAGACATGTGTGACATGCTTGCGGTTATCTCTCAACCGAAATACGTCACCACTAGACTGTGTAGACATGTTGGTCATCCTAGACATGTGGCATGCATGGGTGTGGCTATGAATTTTAATTACATCAATGATGCTTTTTGAAGAAACCATAAGAAACAGTTCAATGTATGACTACCATGATTACAAACCTTTCAAGAGATATCATGGATGATACAACAAAACTATCCATTATTTTCAGTCAGTCAATCAAACTCAATGCCCACAAAATGTCCCCAGCAGCACAACGACGAGTCACGACAACGACCAGCCTCGTCACGAGTCCCGTCGCATCACGATGTCAATTGGGGGGTTCCCTGTAACCGCCATCCTTCTATACGGACTACTTCCAGTGGTGGTTGTTCCCGGTGCCGGCACTGTAAAAAATGTTAACTAACTTCCGTGTTATCATGGCAAATCTCACTAACCTAAAGCGTGTAAAGTTTACACGCATCTACTGGCCAAACGTGTTTTATAAAACACGCTTTTAAGAAAAAACGTGTTATGAAACTAAGACATTAGTTTTCGACGTGGTGTTGACCTACACGCCTTTTGCGTGTGACCGTGTTACTTAACTAATATCTACCTGTCAATGTACTAACCCTCGCCCATGTAGGGGGGGGGGTTGGTGCAACCCCCCCTGAGGTTTTTCGGAAATAGTGCAAAAACGGCGGCGCGCAGCGCCGCCAAATTTTGGGTACCTTATGGGGCAAACCTTGCGCATCTTTTGATAAAAAAAATTTGACCGGGTCATGTCAGGTCACGGAGTTATGACGTCACAAAGGGAACAGCCTCCGGCCGGATTTTCACAAACTGAGTGCCAACGCCCCAGGTTTCCTGCCGGTGGTACGGACATCGGTTGATGGATCGTGATGAAACTTCCCATGCATGTTGGGGCAAGTATTGGCTATCATATGGTATAAGAAACTTGACCGGGTCAGGTCAGGTCACGGAGCTATGACGTCACAAGAGGAACAGCGTCCGGTACTATTTTTGAAAAGCGCCCGAACCACTATTTTGCTAATTCTTGTCACCTCGATGGGAATATGCAGCAATATTAGCTTCTATAGGGAGCAAATGGACCTCCCAAATCCAAAAATACAATCAGATTTCAAAAATTTAAATTTTGATTTTTCGAATTTCTGCCGCCGACTGTGACCTTGCCGACTTCCGGCGCTCCCAACGCGCCATTTTTAGAGCTAGGGAAACGAAATACATACCAAACGATAGAGAATTGATCAAGGAACACGATAGTGAAGGTCGCAAGTCGATATCTCCCACCGTTATGCCGCAATCGCCGCGGAAAGTTGAAAAAGTCTATTTTTTCGAAAAATTTGACCTTTGACCGGTCAAAAGTAGGTCAAATGTTGACCTAGGACCAAAAAATATACCACCAATCGCGAGATCTCGGCGAGAGCAATCCGTTGGTCTTTTCCGCTAAGCTCTACGACGCTCCGTTTTCAAACGCCAAGGGGGGGGGGTCGCACCAACCCCCCCCCCTGCATGGGCGAAGGTGGCAGATCGCCGTTTACGGGCGAGGGCTAATATTATGCGTGTAAAGTAACTAAAAAGTTAGTTATCCTGGCAAATCTCACTAGGCAAAAGCGTGTGAAGCTTACTAGCATTTTGCGTGTAAGCGTGTTTCCTTTTGTGCGTGTTATGTAACACCGAAGTTAGTTATCCTGCAACTAGGCATCGCCTAGTTGCAGGATAACTAACTTCGGTGTTACATAACACACACAGAAGAAAACACGCTTACACGCAAAATGTGAGTAAGATTCACAAGCTTCTGCCGAGATTTGCACATGTGCACATGTTATCCAGGCAAATATCATATAGCCAAATGCGTGTTAACTTCGGGATGCAGTGTGGTAAATACCAAGTTTACACGCATTTGGTTAGTGAGATTTGCCAGGATGACTCGAAACGTGCAAATATGTTTTACAGTATATATATACATGTTGTGCGTTTTCACACACCGTGTTGCGACACGCGTCGAAATTTTTATTTTAAAAAAGTATCATACAGACGAGTATTTAAATACAAAGATGTTTATTCAAACCAACGTATAAAGCAACGCAACCAACCTCATCATGCCAACCAACGTCATAAATCAGTCGGTAATCTGCACCGGTCATGGTGACAAATCTGCACTGATTCACACCTGCAACTATATATAGCCTGCAGGAATCCGCACTAGCTATGACACCATACAGGCTCCAAATACCTATTACGAAAACATTGAGAATGCTTCATTTCTGTCGATATGGGCAAACTAAATTGCAACAAAAGGGCAAAAATTCCCTGACCGAACAATGGTGGCTCATGTGTCTACAAAAAAATTATTTGACAACATGGCTGCAGTGACAGGAATTGCATAAAACAGCACCTCACCGCGTTCACTGGTTGAGTGCCCAACCAAAAATTATAGGTACATTTAATTTCTTGTTCAAAGCTTAATGCGGTTTTAGTGTGCAACATGCTCATTGTTCAGTCCGTCATATGTACTTATAGACGTCAATTGACAGTCAACAAATGAACAGTGTCTCCAACCTGAGACCCTCTAAAGCCTGGTTGGAGCTTCATTTAAAAAGAAAATGAGTGACATACATAAACCACACTAAAACGCCAGCAATATCTCCACTGATCTTTCCCATAATCACTCACCATACCAGTAAGGATGAAAGCCATGTCCAACAATCCATATCATTTCACTGTTTGACTTCTTATTATTCTTATTCGGGTTATGTATCACCACAGTATCACCACTTCTGCATCACCACAGCAGCTCCTTATACTGCACACGCAACACTTATGCGCCACAGCTCAGCTCCTTCACACCGCACGCGTCCTCTCCCTTCTCTGACTTGGCACAGACTGAACAATGGCGGGCGCTGCAGAGGGGCGCACAAAATGGCGATTTTTTTCAATTAACTAAGGTCTTTGTAATGCTACAACAAAAAGAGTAGTAAGAAAACTAAGATTGTGAGTAACAACATGCGTTTGATTTGTTAGTTAACACGTTACCCAGAAAAAAAGGCAAAGGAAGCATAAACAAACATGTTTGTCAAATAACACGGCATGGTTTGCACGGATAATATTTGTCGGTTTACAATGATGTTAGCTTTTCTGCTTCGATGAAATGGATGTGGTGTTAGGTTGCAAACATATGTGTTACCTGACCCGTTTTTGGCAACAACGTGTGTTTTAATACTAGATTTTGCTTGAAGAATTAACTAACTGGTTTGTTAGCATTTTTTACAGTGTATATGCTTGGCACTGGACAGTGGACATACTCGTACTGCTGCGGCCACGTATAGCCCCCACGGGCCGGCGCGCGTTGTGATAAGCCCGGCCACGTGCCGGTGATCGCATCCGGGCGACTAACATCTCCGATTCCGATACACAGCCACAGCAATAACAGACGGCAAAAAGGACCTACAGACTGCATAGTTAGAGGGTCGATATCAACAGCAGGATGCCCGACAAAACACGTGTCCGTATCGGACATTCCTAATCACGAGCTGTGTGGAGCGATTAGTCGTTTTTTCCGGTGGTCAGATCAGAGCGTGTCTGTTTGGTGACCTTGGCGGACAATCAATCAATGTGGTGACTAAGGCAGACGAATTATGATAGAAAGCCAGTGCAGCCGGATCAGTCCAGGTGCAGTGAGTGGAATGTGATTGATTTCTCAGCCCATTAACCCCTGACGTAGACACAAAACAGCTGGCGATGCACGGATACCCCACAGCAGAGAGGGTTAATGGAAACGTCACAACTGAACTGTGGTGATCAGCTGAAGTTTGGGCTTACCTTGAACTCGTCTTCGGTATGATGAGCCGCATGGCTGGCGCAATACACCTGGCCATCCGAGCCAACTCGTCTGAAAAAGACAGAAAAACGGAATATCAAACACTGTCAAGCACACATATCCAAACGAGATCTCAGAAACTAACGTTGCTTTGATCTAAAATCACCGCATGGACTATCTCCAAGGTTGTGATTTCATCTAGAGATTACAGCCGCGCCATTCACCCGCTAAACAGCGTCGAAAAGTGTCGGCACGGCGCGCGGGGACAGCGGGGGTTGTCATTTTCCATCCCGTTTAGCTCCAGTCACGCTGTCCGCCGTTGAGAAACACGGTGCCGTTCGCGGCGCCGAGGTCTCGTTCAGTCGCTGGCGGAATACAAACTAGCTGCGCGCCCGTCTTGTTCCGCTTCCGACCACCCACTGCGGCCGGCGCCGAGTCCGTCCGACTGGTCGCCTGTGCACGCGCACCGCGTCCCGCAGACACTTATTGATGGCCCCGCCCCGCCGCGCGTGTGTCACGCAGGGACGGCGGGGGTGGGGGCCGGGAGGGAGCGTGGGCTGGGGCAGCTCAGATGGACCAGACTGAAAGAGGAACAGGGACGAGGATTGCTCAGTAGCTACGAGCCGTACGATCCAGTTACAGCACAATTGGTAATGAATTCACATTTGCCATGCTTCTTCCTCTCCCACTAACAAACCCTCCCTATAATCCATTTCTATTGCCAGTTACACTAACGCACCTGAGGCCGTTTTCCATTCTGACCACTATCTCTCCACTGCTGCGAAAACCGAAGCAGCTATAGCTCTTACAACCACGACCACTGCTTTCCGAACTGCTTCCTTCTGTCACTCCCTCAGCTGTATCTGGTCCCACTGCCACCCTCACTGCCGCTCCCCACTGTATCTTTCTCTGCCACCCCCACCGCGTCTCCCCTGTTGACACCACCTCTGAGCCAGATTGGACCTCCCGTGGGTATCCGGCTCACAATTGCGTCTCAAGTGGCGGCGAAAAACGGGGCGGGCGTCATCTCTCCCGGACGCGGATTTCCATGAAAACAATGCGATCTCTCTGTGGAAAACATACCGTTTCCTCCCACAGGTATTGTGTAAGGCGAGCCTGGTCCAGATCGCTGCCATGGCCGGGCTGAGAGCGCCCTGAAAACGGCACAGCGAACACCTGTATGTGCCCAGTGACCGCCGAAGACAGGTGACTGCGACGCCTATGAGACACTAGCACCGGCGACTGCAGTCAGTCACAGCACGGTATCACCAGAACACCTGCGCGGGGTGGACACTGGACGGCGAGTGATGGCCGTTAGTACCGCCGCCGCCCTGTCCATGGGGGCGTGACGTAATAACGAGCTCCGTGACTTCCTGCGGCCGGCGGCCAGTACACAGGGCCCGGGAGGTTCCGGCGGCACGTTTAAATCTCCCCCAAATCGGCCGGACCGCCGACCGCCGAGCCAGTGGCGCACAACGGAGACGGTTGTGCGCCGCCGCGGAAACGGAGAGAGAAAAACACGGGACAAATTCGAAAATGGGTCGACGGTAACGATTTGAAATTGTCTCGCGGTCAACCGAACGGTGCACCCCAGAGTGCCCATTCCCGTGCGTTATTACAGCGGCAGATGTGACAAATGGCTCCGTAAATCCCCCGTGAAACGTCAGGCGACTCAAGAGACAAAAACACGACGCCCAATGCAAAGCTGTCCCGGTAAACACTGCAAACGGCGGCTGATGCGTCGCGATGCACATTCCCCGGTGGCAGGCTGGATGTCCGTCCACCCAGTGTGCAATCCTGCATACCTCCGGCTGCCGCGACCGCGTCGCTTTCCCCGACAGCGCCACAAATGCCGCAAATGCGCCGCAGATGCCGGCGACGAGTCGGGGAAACCGCGGCGTGCAGTGCCGCGCCCGGCGGCGACACGCGCACGCACGGCTGAGGCTGATGCAGGGAAGTCTGAGTGAGACGGTCATCCCGTCACGGATCAACGGTGAAACAGCCGGCGGCAGCAGCGGCGACGGTGGTGGGCCCGCGGCGCGCACATTAACCTACTGCGCTATCTTCGGCAGCGCGGAGCTGCTACTCAGCCGAGTCGAGCTAAACCACGCACAGCGGCACCACCACCGCCTCCGTCACAGCTGCCGCTGCCGCTGTCGCCGCTACTCGTCACCGCAAAGCCACCTAGGCCGTCTGCTGTACGCCAGCCGTAATTCTCGGCTAAACTCATTAGCATCGACAGGCGGCGGCGGCGCGGTGGCCGGCTCCGACAGGCGATAAATTGTCATCGGGCGCGGACGGCTCACTGGAAGCCGTTCTCACAGACAAGTGCAAACAGTGCCACGTAATGGGTGCCACTGATTACCGGTAACTAATGTGCCGGCGGGCGGCGACTGGCCGCAGGTCGGACCACACGGCGGGCCGCTCGGTGGACCACGCGGTGGTCTGTCAGCCCGGCCAGTCGGACCCGACGGCAGCCGGCAGCGTGGGCGGTAGTCGCTTCCGACGTGACCCGGCACGCAAACAACAGGCGGACGCCCGGGGTCACGGTGGGTCACGGCGGGTCACGCCGGATCACCAGGCCACGCAGGGTCGCCGGGGCCGCGCAGACCCGTCCAGGGTCGGCCCAGCTGTGTGTTGACGGACTCGGGAGCGCGGGCGATCGAGGCCGCGCGGGCGTTCCTCCAATAATGGGCAAGGTTAATACGATTATTGGAAACGGGGCGTAATTGTGAGGCGCGGGCTATTTGTGGGCGGGGCGGGGCCTTGGGATGAGCGCTGATGCCTATAAGTGACGGAGCCGACCGCCATTGATAGATTGACCATGACCGTATTACCATTATCCACCAAACGCGATACCGCGTCACATCAAAACATCGGACACAGGGGCGGATCCACGCAAAATCGGGTTAGCCCAACAAAAACGAGAAACGCGTTGTATGTCCACTGGCGTGGGAGGTCCCACGGCTGGGGCGCTAAGTGGAAAACGCAGAGTGTGACTTGCGGAAGCGGCCGCTCTGAAGGTCGACAGGATGTTAGGATGAAGCGTATACCGCCGACGTCGCCGACAGAGGATCTCCAAACAACCGCGTCACGAGAAGAGTGTGTGAGAAACTGTGTGAGAAACGCCGGAACAGGCGGCGAGAGGCGGCTCTCGACAAGCAGGACATACGCACAAACACACACAAGCCGGCGAGCCGGGTGAGAGCTCTGAGGAGCGACAAGCAGCACCTGCCAGAGAGCTGCTCACTGGGGCAGCGCCGCTACCGACGGGCGACGGGAGTGGGGCGGCGGTCACCCGACACTGATCACACAAACAGAGGACGGAGGGAGGTGGGGGAGTCACAAATGGACAGAGACACATGACAGGAGACAGAAGAGGCACGAGCAGAGCCACGGAGATGTCAGTAATGCCAGAGAATAGTTGTGCTCCAGGATAGAGTTGCATGAGATCACAGAAACTTAGTGTAAAGGCTGAATCAAATGCCGCCTTTCGAGTTCGATGGCAATGAATCAGCCGTGACAATAGCCATTTGCAAATCAATATGCTGACAACTTACACATGGGTCATGGCTAAAGACGCACGCCAGTTTTCTTCCTCATTGATGCATTGCTCTCACAGCTTCCCACTTGCACACCACGTTGCCATCCCAATCCAGGAAACCACAAATGAAGCAGCCCGTCGGTGCTGAAAAGCCATAGAAGCACCACATAAACTACGGGAAACAATTATCAGTGAGCGCGGCTTGCTGTGGCGAAGACAGCAAGAACCGCGCGCCAGTCAAACTCGATTTATACTTTCCGTGCCCCTCCGCCGGGTCAGAACACCTCCGAATGGGTCACTGTGTCCTGTTGAGGTCACTTTAGGCGGGATCAGTCCGCCCTGACCGGGTTACCGGTTTCCGACAGGTGACCTGACGACTTCACAATCCCAGACAGACCGGAAACTCATTACTCGGTGACTAACCGGCCAACCGGTGATCATCGGTGACCCCTAGTTAGCAGTGGCCGGCTGTCAGGGAGCGGCTATTGTTCTGGGTGATACCCTCGGCTGGTGGGGGGGGGGGGGGTACTTTGACAGAGCTGGATCGATGGCTGGATGCTGGGTGATTAGGTAGACATAATATCGACTAACAATGGCGCAACAATTGAACAAAAATGGCATCAATTGATCTAATGAATGTCTGTAAAATCTATATCAGTGTGATACACCATGCAGAGTACCTAGAAATACAAGAACTGGGTCACTCTTGTAAGCATTTTATTTGCAAAACAACCTGTTCATGACACGCAACAGATGACATGAAACGGCCTTGCACTCAATAGGAGTCTTGCATTTTACATTCAAACAGGAAGACATCAATTCAGTGGGTCATAAAAATGCATGGACATATCATGGGCGGCAAGGTAGGTACGCGCTTATTTGGAAAGCTTTCCGCATAGACGATCTTGAACTGGGACGTTTCTTTCCTTTCCATATCAATGATTTAATGCGCGGTCCACATTGATTGACATCTCTAAAAAAAGTTCAATGCCAAATCATGACGACATATATCCGCGGAGCCCACACGGGTGTTCTACAACGACGCTTCCCTACCGGCTTAGAGTTTGTCTGAATTGGCAATGAATGATGCAATGCATAGGAAATCCGCTGGCGTTGAGCTCCTAAGTGAATGATTACGGGAGATGTCATTAGTTGTAAACTGACCACAGCTATGCAGATCGGTAGCTGTACAATGTCGCATGTTGGTAGATAAAAGTGTCGCAGTGTACAAGATTGCTGCTACAAGAAACAAATTTCCATCTTTGGGACACTACACAGTAAGATTGTGTAATACAGTCATGCATAAGTACTGACTTCTATGAAAAAGTAACGATAAACCAACAAATGACTTTCTCTGTAACTGTAATGCTGGGCAAACGACTTGTAGCTATGCTTGACTTTTCAGAAATTTCCATACGGTTGCGGTAAAAATAAACGGCAGCATTCCATTTTTGCTTGTATTATTATCATTATGCGCATCTTGACCACGACGGTGAGCGCTTGTTACCAACAGAAGCACAACCCGGCA